ACGAATTGCGTCTTGCGTCAACGCGTCAAATTTATGATTGGTGACGCAATGTTCAATTTTCTAGATTTTTAATTGCGTCTGACGCGATTTAATAATTTTGACCACATGTATATTAATATACAAAATCTGAATAGTTCTGACAAGAGTTTAATGTAAATTTGCAATCCATGCCAGTCACTTCCATCGCAAATATCCCATACATTTATCCAGCAATTAATGGAGATTTTACTTTTGCTTTAATTAATTCTTGTTCGATCTCTAGCTTCACATTATCATTCTAACATGGGAAATTATCTTATTCAGATGTTTCTTGCATTGCCTATATAAATCTTCATACTAATGATTTTTATTTCAAAAAGTGAATATAAATTATTCTCATTTACTGTCTAGGCAACTGAGCATTTATCAATATAAATATGGTTAATTTATATTCAACTGCATTTAAAACTCATAAATATCATCTATAAAAATTTTTTGTTATGTCATAGGAAACTTTATATTTTTTAATTGTGGTGTGAAGTTTTGTCCATTCTCACATATTGTTTGACGATTATAATTGCCTGGGATCCTGCTCCAGGCCACAAATTATGCTAGAAATTTACAAAGCTATTGACAGGCTCGCAACATACTAGCCAGTGTTTTCAATGAAGTTATAATCTACGTTACATGAGCATATTGCGCAAAATAAGGTATGTTTTTCCGTCCTTCAATTAAGGAAATACAAAATCAATAAAAACTTCTTATAAGGGAAATATTGTGCATTGTGTATTAATTTAGACCTGATTATCGACACAAAACAAAAAAAAAAGTTCTTTCCTAAAGTTAGAATATTTTTAAAAAACGATCAAACTGTGTCATGATAATTGCTGCATTAAATTATAATAAGTAATTAAATAGAGAAATATAACGTGGCAATGGTTGCCATTGATATTGACTGAACGTTTGCAAGGTAATAATGATCATGATATTGACATTGGTGATGATAGAATGTATATTTACGATGAAGATTATGACATGTTAGGTGTTGATGATGTTGATGACAAAGAGGAGGATTTGATAGATGATAAAGATGTCGTGTAGAGAGAGATGCATTAATTCTTTGCTAATTGCTATATACAGCATTTATTTATTTATTTAAAAGTTTAAAGGTTGTTTTATTTGTAGTTAATTTTTAAAACATTGTATATTTTATTACTAGGACACGTGTTTATTTATTATTTATAAGTTAATATATATATGATAAGCAATTATAACCCCTCCAAGAAGACAGCACTTTCAGCTCTTGCGATCAGAAAAAACATAAGCATGGGAATTATTCATTTCATCAAATCTCAAAAGAGCAAAAGTAAAAAAAGCGAGAGGGAGCAATGATAAACAATATAAGCTCTATTCAGAAGAACATGGATACGAGGAGGCTCTTGAAACTCATGCATAGTGGTAGAGATGTGGTGGTAGTTTTACTGCTTTATTTTAATTGCATATTATTATTACCATTGATTAGAATCATTTCATAGATGTCCAAGTTAATTTTTTTTTAAATATATAAAAAAGTTTTATTAATTTATTTATTTATCAAGTAAATAATTTTATTTTTAAAAAAGATAAAAAAGAAAAAAGAGGAAAAAAATAATATGCATTAAAAAATCTTTTTTTAAAAAAAATTTATAAATATACAGAAAAAAATTTAAAATAAAAATAAAGGAATTTAAAATCTAACAAATATATAGTGTATATATATATATAAATTTTTTTAGAATCGATGAATTCAATTCAATCTAATCCATTACATTATTATATTATTATTATTATTAAATAAAACATTTTTTAATCAAAACAATTATATAAAATAATATAAGAAATGATATTATTAATTTATATATAATATCAATTAATTAATTAGTCCAAAAAAAATATATATAAAATTTTTTTTCTTATGTAAAAAAAAAAAATAAAGGAATATATATATATTAACAAAAAAAAATATATAAAATTGACAAAATTATTATAAACAACAAGTTACAATTAACATTATTATATATATATATTTAAATATTTAAATTAAAATAAAATAATTTTTTTAAGATGATTCCAAATTATTATTGACGTCATTAATATCGGAATTTATTGAAGAACCACCTGATGATGGTGTCAAATTATTTCCAGCTAAAAGATTTTCAGTGGAATTTGTGATGTTGTTAGTAAGTGTACCATTTTGATTTTTTTGATTTTCTGTAAGTATCATAAGTTTTTCAACCTCTATTATTATTAAGAGGATGAAAAATACGAATTGTTTAATAAATAGTCAACCAACAAATCAAACAATTCAGAGAAAAAAAAACTTTTTGTAAAAACCTTTAAACATACTTGAAATAAGATGTTTTCCGTATGTATATTTCTTCAAAGATTGTAAATGTGGTTTAATCTTTGCCACGAGTAAATCTCTTTGGTCACCGTCCACCACATCAAGCATTTTTTGAACTACATAATTTGCATATTGATCCTTCATCATTGAAATTAATGGTGATGTTCTAATAATCAATAAATGAATAAATATAAAGATATTAAATGAATATGAATGAACGAAAAAGATGTTATTTCAGTGCAACACTTTTTTCAAAATGTAAATAATATAAATACTAACCCATCGGGTTTAGTCATGATAACTTCTTCAATTAACAATTGACGATCCCTTTTACTGCCATAAGCAACACATTTCTCAACAACATTACTGGCAAATTTATGCTTGGACATTTGTAAAACATTTCCACGAACTTTTGCTACAACCATCGATTTGTCTGCAGCTTTACCACGTTCCAACACATGTTGGATTACATAATTCCCGTATTGATCTTGAACTAAATTTGGCGTGTACCTATGAAGTTCCTCTAACAGTGGCTTCTAATTGATGAGTGAATTAATGAACTTTTAGTAGTCTAATTTAAAGGAAGAATAAAAATTTTTTCATAATTTATCTTACTGTTGCTACTCACCGTCTGTTCATCCGTACAATGTTCAAACATTCGTTGAATTACTCTACAACCATATGGATGGGTGGCAAGAGTAAATACTTGTCCATGGAAAGCATTGATTATAAATTGAATATGTTCAGCTGGAACTCGCTCAATAGCTTTTTGGATCACATGATTTCCATTTTGGTCTTTAACACATTTGAGAACATTTCCATCAAGTTCCTTAACTAACGTGGCTTGTTGTTCAGTTAAAACGTGTTCAAGAGCCTTTTATGTTGAATAAATAAAAAAAAACAAATGAAATTAATAAAGGTGATTAAAAATAATAATTGATTAAATAATATTTTTTCTCCAAGTATTTATTACCTTTTGTACAACACGACAACCGTACATTTGTAATGCTAGAGATAGTACATGTCCTTCCATTTGTTTTGCCAAAATAGTTTTTTGCATTTGATTACCGTGTTCAAAGAATTTCTGAATTACATAATTACCAAATACATCTGTCATTAATTGTAATGCGTTTGGAAGTATCTCATCGAAAACTAATTGTTTTTCTTCGCTGTTGGCTGTTTCTAATTTTTGTTGAATAAACCTTGATCCATGTTGATCACCACTAAATTCTACAATATTTCCTACAATATCCTAAAAAAAGAAAAGAAAAAAAATTTAACCAATTATATATCTATCTACATATGCACGTATGGATGTAATTATACATTTATATATCTCTTTTTATTAATAATACTAACCCTTAACTCGTATTTTTTATTTTTATTATTCCTAAATTCTTCCAATAATTGACTTCGCATACCATGGCCGGGATCAGAAACGCTAGAACTTAAATCATGGCTACGACGACTATTATAACTTAAATAGGACAAATTCTCAGCTGAATGATGATGTCTTAGTAATTGTTCACGGGCAAGCATGATTTGTTGCTGCTGTTTTAATTGCTGTTGTTGATATAATAATTGTTGTGATTGTAGACGTAAATTTTTTTCAGCGAGTGAAGCGCGGGTAAGTACTGGACCACCACTGCCACCACTAAGTGAACCCAAACTAGAATTGCTAAGACTAGATGATCCATAGTACTGGCCACTGTTTTTTGAAAGTGCATAATCAGACGGTAGTAATTGTTCTGAGCGGCCTACACCAATTGCACCAAGTTGTTGCTGTTGTAGCGATTTCTGATAATCGACAGAACTACGTGTTGAACTTAGGCCGCTTAATGAAGTGGTACGGCCATAAGGGGAGTCATTTGAAAGTATATTCCTGTTAAGTAAATTATCTTCACGAGAATCCCACATTGATATTGATGAATAAGGGTCTTCATTTGTGTGTTATTAATAAAATAATATTGTTAGTATTCGTTAATTGATTAAACTCGTGAATTTTATTTAAAATAATATAATAAATAATTACTATTATATTTTTATAATAAATTTATTATTATATTTACCAAATCCATATTGAGAAGAATATCCAGTTGTTGAATTATCATTAAATAATGAATTATATTGAGCTTGATGCATCTTTAGACGTTGTTGTTTTAATGCTTGCTGTTGACGATATGCACTCTGTAGTGCTTCATATTCATCCTAATAATCAATCAAACGTGTATGTAAATAAATATATGTGACATTACACACAGACACAAACTAAAGCTCGTACACAAACGATGTATATGCGCATATATAATATACAAAATATATAAACTTACAGATCCATCCATATTATTTTTCATATTATAAAGTAGATCACCGTGTGTTAAATCACCATGAAACTCCTGTGAAAAATTTAAACTGTGTTGACGGAAATGAGACTGAGTAGGTGGAGTCGATGACGCACGAGGTGGCGGTGAGAATTTTGGACGAAATGGAGGTGGTGAATTGTTTCCTCTTCCAAAAGGGCCAGTCAATCTATGGTCAAAATCTTCACCTTCCAAAGCAGCGCTTACCACCGACTTAAGATGTTCGTCGTCATCTGGACCACCTCCACCACGTAAAGGAGCATTTGAATAATGGTGAGATGAATGATTAAGTTGATCATCTAAACTTAAATGTCGTAATTCATTTATATCAAACTCGTCTGTTAAATCCATGGCAGCAGCAACAGCATTGGCATTTGCATTTGCTTCAGCTAGAGCAGCAGCTTGTCTTTGACGCTGAGCTTGTTGTAATGCATACATCGGTGACGGAGTTCTTGGGAAATCCTAATTATTATTAGTATTGGAAAAATGAAAATAAAATAAAATGATTACTTATTTGTTTGTTTTGGATGATTTAATTAATTAAATTGTTAATATAGTTCTAACTAGGCCTAATATCGTAATAATAATAATAACAATTAGTAATATTAGTAGTAGTACTAACCGCTTGAATCATTTCCACTAAATTTTTTCTTTTATTCGCATTTGGATCATTAATTATTCCTTGTGTTGGAAGAGGAGGAGATTTTAATTCATTACGCCAAAGTGACGCAGCACTGCTGGTGCCTTGAGTAACGAAGTTTTCATATTGATTAGTTGGATCATTATTATGAAGATGTTGATGATGGAGCTGTTGTTGATGATGGAGATGATGGTAATCATCTACTAAATTTGAAGAGTGGTGATGATGATGTGAAGTTTCAGGTTCTAAACTTTGATCCAATGGATGATCACGTAAAAATTCATCATCAGAATCCATGCCTCTAAATTTTTCTAATATTTTTGGTTTTGTAGATTGAGAAGGATTATTTAAACCATTTGGTTTTGAATTTAAACCAGCATTTGTAGTTGGAGGATTAGCAGCAGTAGGAGACGCAGCATTACTACCACCCACACCTAAATTACTACCAGTCCATAATTGTTGCCATGATTGGCCAGGTTGATATAAAGGGGGAGGTAATCTTGGATCAAGACGAGAATTTGCATAATAATAATGTGGATATTCAGGGTCCAGACGTGGATCGGATGAAGAAGCAGATTCGAGTTCAGGATCAAAACGACCTGGTTGATCAGTTACTTGAGTTGGAGGAGCACTATTTGGACGATTCATATCTTGACGTTGACCAGTAAAAAGATCATAATCATAATCTAATTTTTCTCTTAATAAAGCCGCCAATTGC